AAGATCATTAATGTAAATTAAAAAGAGTATAAGGCCAAGGATTGAACCTTGAAGAAGAGTGCTGTCCTTCAAGGTCAACTTTTATACTATGATTGGAAAGGAAGGATTCAATAATCTTAAGGATGTTTCCAGATACATCGTAACAAGAAAGCTCATGGAGAAAACCAGCATACCAAAATTTATCAAAAGCTTTAGAAATGTCAAGAGCGATGGTCTTAACCTCTCCACCTTTATCTAATGCGTGATAAAACCTATTGGTTATTACTGTTAGCAATTTAGCCGTAGAACAAGAAGATCGAAATCCATATTGAAGATCAGAAAGTAAGTTATTAGATTCAAGATGAGAGATTAACTGTTAGTTAGTTAAAGATTCAAAAACCTTGCTTATGATAGGAAGAAGACTAATTGATCAGTAGTTAAACGAATCAGATCACTCTCCAGAATTTTTAAAAATAGGGATAACAGATGCTGCTTTCCAGCAGGCTGGAAAACAAAACTCTGATAAGCACTTGTTGAATAGTTTTGAAAGGATAGATGACAGCTCCGGATAACACTTCTGCAAGACTATAACAGGTATGTTGTCCCGGCCGCAAGCTGTAGAAGAGTCTAAGCAGGAAATCACTTTGGATAAAGGAGCTGGAGTGATACGAATGTCGAGCAATAGATCAACCTGTTTGACGGCTTTATCAGGTAGAACGCAACTAGTGGCATCAAGAGATGATATTGATGAAAAGTTCTTGGTAAACAATTCAGCTTTGTGTTTAGGTGAGGTGACAAAGTCTGAACCTTACAAAAGAGGTGGAATTACAGACTTGCCCTTATTATTGATACTATTAAAGATTCTCCAGAAGTCACGAGAGCCTAATTTTTGTGATGAAATACGAGATTTCATGATCTGAGAATAGTTGGTTTTGGCATTAGACAAAAACTTTTACAATTGTTCCTAGCAGTAATAAACAGACGTCTGTTTTCTGAAGAATTGTTTTGCTGATAGATAAGGAAGTAATGGTTTCGATTGGCAATTGCAGCAGCACAATGTGAGGAAAACCATGGAGAAGAGTGAGGCTTGACCTGGAATCGTCGAGAGGGAATAAAGGATTCCATGCCAGCCTGAATCCACAAAGTTATGTATGAAGCACATTTGTCAACAGGGAGACAAAAGGTTTCTACCCAGGGGCCATCACGAAGAAAATCACGGAAAGAGTCCCAGTCAGCTTTAAGGTAGTTGTAAGATGTACGATGATAAGGGGTTTGTGATGGTAAAGAGGAATGAGGTAATAGTTTTAGAGAAACCAAACCATGATCAGAAGCACCTAAGGATGAGTGTGAAGAAACTGAGCACTGACTAGGATCAGAAACAAGACATAAGTCAAGTAGAGAAGGTAAATGATTTGGGTTGTCTGGAAAGCGAGTTGGAAAGTTGACTATTTGAGTTAGGGATTGGGAAAGGCAAAAGTTTTGGGCTTTAATGCCTGCAGAATCACTGACACGTGCCAAGCCATTCAGTGTCATGAACATTAAAGTCACCAACAACAACAATATTGGCTGATGGATAAAGAGAGAGGGCTTGGTCAATATGATTAGAAATAACATTAAGAAGAGTGCAGTCTTGAGATAAAGGAGAGCGATATAGAACAAAGAGAAAGGTGATAGAGTGAAGTGGTGCTAAACGAAAGCACATAAAAGAGTAGTCTGTGGATTCAAAGGAAGATAACCATCAACACTAAGATCACAAGATGAGACAGCTGAACTCAAATTAGTCTCACAAAGAGCAAGTAGGTCTGGTGAACTTTTCAATAGTTAAGACTCAACAGAAAAAAAGTTCGAAGACCACGAATATTAGTCAATGATAGGTTTAGCAAACTTGGTGATGACAGTGGATTTTTGTGTTTTATAGTTTTTGTTACTTTATTCATTTTTAAATTTGTTAAAGAACTTGACTCAAAACATAGATAGTACTCAGTGCACTCTTTAACAGCCCAAGCAATTGCCTCATTACTATTAATAAACCCTAAGCCGTAACAAAGGGATCCATTGTGGCCTTGGCAATGCACACCAAAAGTACAATCAGGGCACCATCCATGCACAACATGGCACTGTTAGTACTTTGATATTTTTCAGTTGTTGATGGAATCAGCCTCTCTGAGATCTACCACAGAGTTAAGGAAACCTGACTACCAGAGCAATAAAATTGAGTTATAGAGCTGTACCCTCATTAGGAGATAGGCGAATGAGTTGCCTAGTCATAAAAACAAAGATACAAGCAAAACCCATGTATCGAGTCAAGAAGATCCAGCATTCAACATCCTAAACTGGAAATAATGTATTAAAAATACATCTGCGCCAGTCTAATAGGTAAAGAAGGGGTGCAAGGCTGGTCAATAGATAGAATCTGTTTACCCCTTAAAGGGTTCTCAAACTCCCTACACATGTAGTGTTCATAATAAAGATAATGTTAAAAAAAAAAAGTTTGAACCAAGTTTTTTTGATAAAAAATAAATAATGAATGCATTCCAAGAAAAACTAATGTTGTTGTTTTAGCCAAAGCTTGCCTTCTCCATTTTTTTCAATAACTCGGAGTCTTTAAATTATACGTCACAATCTACAGACTTTGGCGATTCCTTCGAAGCGCGTTTAATTAATAAAAGTTTTAGTATTTGACGTCATGGTAGACTTTTAACAAATGAAACTTTAGAAATATTTTTATTTATTTTTATTCGAATTTTTTTTTATTATTTTTTAAATAATAAAAAAAATTTGTTTATTATTATATTATTATATTATTATATTATTTGTTAAAAAAATTTATTTATTTTTTTCTATTTTTAACATTCAAAAAGATATTAAAAACCTCAAATATTTTATGCTGGTTCATTGCTATAAATTGTTATTGTGCCATATATTTAATGTTTATAAATTATAAATATATTTTATCTCAATCAAGACTGATAAAAAATTGTTTCACATTAATTACCCTTATAAAATTAGTTAAAGCATTTTTATTTGGTTAGATAATATTTCGTCTCAATTTGCTTTGCATGAAGTTCGGGAAGTCAAGCGAAAAAAATTAGTTTGAATAATCACTTTGAAATATATTTAAAACAAATTATTTTAATGACGGGGGTTTAAAAGTTTTTTATAACAAATGCAGGTAAAAAATAAATAAATAAAAAGTTCAACGTTAAACATCATTTCTTTATTATATTGCAACTGTAAATATTGAAATATTAACTTGAACTAAATTTACTTATTATTTAGAACGACTAGCAATAAAAATAAATAGCCCCTAACATTATGTGGTATTGTATTGTTTATTTGATAATTGTTGTTGGTAATGTTGTTTATGTTGATTATTTTCATTAATATCAAAATAGTCCCAGATTAATCTGTTAGTTGCTTTGCTCATTGTTGATTTATTTCTAATTTAATTTTATCTCTAAGTATAAATTTATGTTAAGAAAAAAAAGTTTTTATTTCATCGCTCGCTCTTTTTATAAAAGAGTAGAACAAAAGAGAAAGAAAAGTTTCGCGTAATTAAACTTCGAATGAATAAGAGTTGTATAAATTTTTTTTTTTTTTGCCTCACTCGTTCTTTTTTTAGATGAGAGAAATAAAAGTTTAATAATAACTTTTCTGTGAATAAATGAGAATTGGAAGAGAAAATTGCTTGAAAATTTGTATTTGTTGTGTTATAAAATTTTTTTATGTTAAGAGACAAATGCCAATTATTATACGATACAAATTGGGAAATACGATACAAATTGGGAAATACCAAATATAATATGTTTTTTAACACGCGTTATGACATTTTGACAATTTAAATTACCATTTATTATGAATTATTGCCATTAATTAATGTGTTAATTATTGCGCTATATAATAATAATTTGTCCGTATTTTTGTTAAATATTAGTTGTATAAAACGGGCAAAATATACAAACTTCATGTTTTTTATTTGATGGTTATAAAATATGGAACAGTAAACTTTTATTCAAAATTTATAATGCTGACTTGTGTTGCTATTAATTGTACTTTTAATGCAAAACCAGGATCTCACATATTCTTTCACGAATTTTCATATCTGATACTACTGTCAACTGTATCGTTTAGTGTATTCTTGTACTTTTTTTTCATAACCTTAACAGGTTCTAATTGGTATGGAGTCGCCAACATTTTAAAAGTTTCATTATCAAAAATCAAATGTAAAATAAAATGATATTTCCTTTTTATCTGTATCCAATTCAGCAAATTTAGCAATTTAAAATAAATCAGTGTAATCAAAAAAATTTTATAATAAAAAAAGTTAACAATTCATCAAATATCTCTAATTAATACTGTCAGTTGATGAAATTAATTGTTAATAAATACTTTTTTTCGACGGGAAAACAAAAAATTATGGGTCTTCCATAAATTACGTCATGCTATAGGGGAGGGGGGTTGGTGGTTTTGTGACGACTCATTCAAAACTCGCTTCTTAAGTGTTACGATTTTATGACGAGGGGGGTTGAAAACGGTCAAAAATTGCACGACATAATTTATGGACAACCCCATAGCGTAAAAATAACCAGAGAAGTCAGAAAAAAGTTCCCATTGTTTAAATAAAAATAAGTAAGATTCAGAATATATAATACTGCGCTCTCTTGCACAAAAACGAGAGACCGTATACATAACGTTCTATATAATGTAAAATACTCATATGAAAATCATAAGATTCGTAAGTAAAGTTTTAATATTTGTTTTAATTTATAAACGAAAGAATTATAAGTAAGATATATAAATCGAAAAATTATTTTTGATTTTTACAAAAATTTGTTGTAAAAGTTGTTTTGTTGTATGTTAAAATTTTTTTTTGAATTAAAATATAAAAACGCAGCTTTGTTTAATTACACTTTTCTTTTGTTAAAAATCTACCATGACGTCAAATACTAAAACTTTTATGAGTTAAACGCGCTTCAAAGGAATCGCCAAAGTCTGTAGATTGCGACATATAATTTAAAGACTCTGAGTTATTGAAAAAAATAGAGAAGGCGAGCTTCGGCTAAAACAACAACATTAGTTTTTCTCTGCATTATGCAGGTATGCATTCATTACTTATTTTTAATAAAAAAAAATTGGTTCAAACCTTTTTTTTAACATTACCTTTAATATGAACACAACATGCGTTGGGAGTTTGGGAATCTTAAAGTCTTTGCCTAGGAGGCCTTCTACAAGACAGCAGGCAGATGCATTTAACATTTGCCCAAGATGAGTGTTTTTATCGAGACATCATCTCTAGCCTTTACTCAACCAAGAGCCCCAAAGCAGGGGGTGTTTTATGCCAGAGTTGGCATCTCCTAGCTATTGCCTAAAAAGGCATATCCTACTAGGCCGCAGGGCATGAAGCATATAGTACTGGGTTACATGTTACCAGTAGCAAGATAAGCCTGACCTGACATAGTATTATTGTTTTGAGAAGATAGAATAAAAGTGCAATTTCTACTAATTTCCTTTCTATTATATTTCTACTGATTTTCGGAAAATCGTGTTAATGGAGAAAAAAAATTGGTTTAGAGTGATTTTTTGTCCTTTACATCTGACTTTAAACCTTTTTGTAAACTATTGTTTTTAAATAATTTGTTAATTTTATGACATTCATTATTCTTGAATAGTAAGACTAAAATATCAAAACTTATGAAATTAAGTTTTACTTTAAAAAATGGAAAATCAGAAAACCACATTAAAGAGAGAAATGTCATTCTATTAATCTCCTTGAGTATTTTATTGCTCAGAATAAAAACCTGCCTGATTTTGGGGAAATGCAACTTGAGTTTTATGTAGCAAAATATCTTTGCCGAAAACCTGGTGTGTAGCTCTATTTATATTAATTTTAACCTAATAATTTGATTTTCCGCAATTTTGTAAACTTTTGCAATTCTTAAAAGTCTGTAAATGTAAATAATTTTAAAGCTTAATTAGAAACCTATATATTTTGTTTTTGCATAAAAGTATTTTAAAGTGGTTTATCTTACTATTTTATAACCTTTTATGGTCTATCGGGCTCCTGAAAATTTTAAGCATCCATATAGCCTGCGTTTCTAAGCAGATGTTCTTAACAGTAATTAAATTGCAACAACACTGTCTCATTGTTTGCATAACACCATCCCAGCTATTATTTAGAAATTTATAGTTTATTGTCCATTTTAACAGTTTTATTTACGGCTACAGCTATATGAAGCTCTCTGACATGATGGCATGAGGTTTAAAAAAGTAATGTTCGGCCATGAAACTTTCATTGAACCGTCTGAGGTCAAGAGAATCTAATTGCTGTGTATAGGGTCTTAGTGCTATCGTGTTTGAAAATCATATTTTTTTAAATTTCATAACACATTTGTACAATTTTAAAATACTACCACTTAACAATATAATAATAATAAAAATGCACACAATCGTTGTAGATAAAAAAGTAAATTTTTATTCAGACCTATTGTTTGAAAATGCCTTTGAAAACTCAAAAAATGTAAAAAAGTTAAAATTTAAAAAACTGACGAGAGTTAAAATATTCATCCAAATTAAAAAATAAAAAAATTCTATTAAGAAAACAATACCTTAGAATATTTTATGACACTCCTTGAATTGAAATTTGTTTATGAAGGTCAAAATGGGATGGGCTAATATATATACATATATACACACATATATCTATAATTATTGTTATTTTAATTTCAGAAAGAGAAAGAAATAAAACAGATGAACCACAGGTAAGTCATTTTATTAAGTTCATTTGAAGATTTTTACTTTAGTTAAAAATTATGTTTAAAAGCCTGAAAACTAATTTTTTTATTTTTATTTTTTTTTCAGCATTGAGGAATTAAGCAAATGCAAATATGAAACAGAAATTTTATTGGCTGTTGAACAAGAAAATATAATTAAACTTCAGCATGAATTTGAGGTTTTTGTTAAAAATATTTTGACAACAAATGCTTGATATTACATAACATTTATCGGTTATTTTTAAATTTAAAGATTTTTTCATTTTTTTTTATGGAATAACAAAGTAAATTAGATAATTATTTTTAATTATTAAGGTTCTCCAAGAAGCTCTTGCTGAAATAAGCAAGTTTCCTGCAGATGATAGTATCAGTTTTGAAATGTGCAATGAAGAATCTGAAGCAGCTGGTAATTTATATTTTTTTAAACCACAAATATTTAATTTTTTATCTACAATAAAAAGTGAAACCTTTGTGTTTTTTGGTCCGACTTTGTGCTGATCAAAAATCATTTAAGACCAGACCTTATTTTTTCTATTTCGGAGAGTAGATTGTTATTAACATTACATGACTTTGTTTATTTAATTTTATTCTATCAGTAAAAGTCTATATATCTTGTTTAATTAAAAGTTTATTATTTATTTAGCAATAGAGACTAAAACCATGCGGTTAGCTAAAATAATGGAATCAACTAAGGTATTTTTATGTATTATTTGGATAAAAGATTTTAATGGACTCAATATTTATAAATGATATCAAACTGTTGTCAGTATAAAATGTGTTATTAGTAGGGTTTCAAGCGGTTATATTATAAATAGAAGATCAAAGACAAATGTATTTTGATAAAAATGATTTATTTATAACAAACAAGTTTATTTTTTGTTAATTATTTACTTGCAGATAAAAGCAGAGCTAAAGGAAATAACTAGCAAATATAAAGATTCTCAATCTGAACTTTCTAATGTTGTTGCAAAAGTAATCGATTTGGAAGGTATTGTTGTCTTTAGACTTTTTTTTGTATAAAAAAGATTTAAATTTTCAAAATAAAACTGTTAAAAGTATAAAATTTTTATTTTAGAAAAATATTATGATATTTTAACAAAGTATGAAGAACTTTCTGGTCATTCATCGCAACTTTCAAAAGATTTAGAGAAAAAAGAAATAGAATTAACTACCATTAATAAGTTCTTTGCTGACAGAGAGAATGAACACAGACTGTAAGAGTTAAATCTAGAGAGTGACGCTATAAATTTATAGTCTACTTTAATAACAATTTTTTTGTTGTTATTTTTTTTTTTTAGGTCTACTGCCTCACAATTGGAAGAAATTAAATATCTTAAAAAGAGTTTAAATGCTGTCGGCGACAATGACAAGCAAATTAGCGTTTTGTTGTATGTTTTTTTTTTCATTAAGATTTTATAAACAAAAGAAGTATTTTTTATCAGTAATCAGGTATTTACAAAAATCTTATTTGTTTCATTTTGTTGCAGACAACAAATAGAGGATTTAAAAGAGGAAATCTCTAAAAACGACAAACAACTCAAAATCAAAATAGTGACCGCAGAAGAGCAAAGTCATAGCAACTACATTAAAATGCGAGCAGCTGTTCGCGAATGTGAAGAACATAAGCGTGAAAAAGAAATATACAGAAAAAGATTGCTTGATATTGATATGTCTCCGCAATTTAAAAAAAAATCTTCTCGTACAGATAGTCCAATTAGCAACGACAAATCAAGTTAGTTTATATTTTAATATTTTTTTACAATGATGAACAGAATTAGAGTTCTGCGGGTTCTTTTTTAAAATTAGGCTAGAAAATCAGATGCTTGACAACTGCTTAAAAAAAAATTACAATTTAGGTCTCAAATATGACATCAAGTTCAAAAAAATTAAGCTACCTAACATATATAAATCATGTTTTGAGACCTCACCAAAACCAACATCGATTTCTAATAATTTAAGCTGCCTTGTGTTTTAATTCAAAAGAAAAACAAAATGTGAATAATCCTAGTATATAATATTTTAGATAATTGACACTTAAAAAACTATCATTTAAATTTATATTTTTAAGTCTTATTTATATCTTTATAAAGTTATTAGTTTTTAAAAAATTTGTTGAGTTGTGAGCCTAATTATAAATGCGGGAGGCTAAAGAAGTGTAGATTTCATAACTGCAAACTTGCATATGTGTGAATTGGCATAAGTGCGTTGAAAAAGTTTGCAAAGGTTAGCATAAGTACAAATTGGCATAAGTACGAGTCCTATGCTAATGTTTTCAAATTCTTTTGGCGCATTTATCCCAGTTTTTAAAAATTTTATTGGCACACATGCCAGTTCACATTTATGCCTATTCGCACTGCACTAAATGCAAGCTCGCAATTATGCAGATTTGCTGTTATGAAATTCGCACCTATTCAGTCGCCCCCATAAACACAATGACCGTTTTGGCTCTTTTTTCAAAATAAATTCAATTAATTCAAACAATTTCTTGACTTTTTGTTATTTTTATTTACAAACAAATTAAAATTATAAATAACTTAATTATAAATTTTGTGTTTAAAATATTTATTTTTTGTTAGAGACATCAACTTTTCTTTTTAGTAGATGAAACAGACTCATTACCACCTCAGCCTGCAACCACAGGGTAATTTTTATTTTGCTTTTACCTCCAGTTATTTTTATTTATAAAATTTGCTATTGTTTTATACATTTTTTAAAAATTTTATTTTATAATTTTATTTTTTGTACAATTCATAACTATTTATATAATATTACTATATTCATAGTTATATCATATTACTTTTTATTATTATTAATGCTTTCAAAATATATTGTAATATATAATTTAATATATTGTATAAAATTGTAATTACAGATCTACTTTTGCTCCTACTATATATCAAAACATGGGTCATCGTATCCCGTTGCAGCATTTACCACCTCCTCTGCCCTATGGAATGGCACCGCGACCTTTCGTTGCTCCAACTGTTCCACATTTTTTTCCAGGAATTAGGCCTCAATATAGACCACCTATGCCATCATTAGGACCTCGTGTACCTCCTGCTTTAGATGAAAGACTGCAGGTTTTCAAATTTTTTAATTTCTTTTGAAAATGCAAAAATGGGAAGAGTAATTTACAATATTTCTTATAATCGAGATTTTCTAATTTTTTTTATTAGCGGCCATTAATGACGCATCCTTCATATACTCCTCGTCCCAACGTAAACATAGGTTACACAACACCGATGTTTAATGGTTTACATCCAGCAGCGGGTTATTCAAGCAATCAACCTAATACAATGCAAGCTCCTGGTGAAATTACTAGGCCGATCGTAAACAACATGATGCATACACCGTCTACAGCAATTGGAATGCATACTTCAAACGCTTCATTTGCATCTACTTCTTCTCCTATAAGTATAGTATTACTTAATAAACTTTAACTTTTTTATAATTAGTATATATTCCATACTTTTTTTTTCTCTTTTTTTTTTTTTGCAAAAGAAACAAAAATGTGCATAGAATTATTTTGTTTGCTTTTAAAATATATATATATATATATATATATATATATATATATATATATATATATATATATATATATATATATATATATATATATATATATATATATATATATATATATATATATTATATATATTGTTCTTTTTCAGATCGATCAATGGATAGAAGCAGTGTGTAACAACGCATAAAAAGTCTTAGAAAAATAGTCTAAAAGATAAAATATCTATTAGGTATGATTACTAATGTAATTTTTCAAAAGAACAAATAAGATGCAATAGCGCAAATGAACTAAGCGGAAGAATTCACCTTGTCTCGCCAAGTCTATCGGAGCAATGGTCTATTGGGACATTAACCAATATTTGTCTCGCCGAGTCAAGCGAAACATTTACTTTGTCTTACCAAGCGTTCATTGTTTAGTAAATCAAGAGTTTTTTAAGCTAATCAAGCGTTTGTTACATTGCTTATCAGGCGTTTGGTTCGAAAATGCTTTGAGGACTAATCTCCAAAAATTATTTTCACGATGCATTCAAAATTATTAGTCATTTTTGTTGTAAAATTAATATCGAATTATTTATGTAAAAAAATATAACAAATTTTTTTTTTTTAACCCAATAAACAATCACAATTATATTATCTCAATCCAGTTTTATGATTTTGAATCTCAAGATATTTCTGATCATTTTTTTGAGGAGACAAAAAAAATTACAATTTTACAACTAGTTACAACTTTTGAAAATAGTTGTAATTTATTGTAATTTCTGTTTACTTTATTAATAGACGCATCCCGCATTCCTATGATGTTATGTTTAAAAATGACGTAATGTTCTCGGGCAATGATAAAACGTAAACATTAAAATTGAGTAGCTATTAGTATTTTTTTAAATATGTGTGATTTTGCCTGTTCCACATTGAAAAAAGTTGAAAAACTTGATTTTGGAGGCAGTGGAGCTTATTGCTGTATTCCACAATGCAAAAGTGCATTTTACGATTCTAAAGAAAACAAGTCAGGCATTGTATTAATTAAAATTCCTAAAGACACTGCTCGTCGTAATAAGTGGTCTAAAATTATTTCTCAGTTTAGAAGAAAAGGGGGTAACGACAATTTTGTTATAAAGGATACAACTTTAGTTTGCAAGCTTCATTTTAAAGTTGAAAATATTCAATTATCAACAAATATTGGCAGAAAAACTCTCAAAAAGGAAGCATTCACATCTGTTTTTCAATTTAAAAAGCAAATTGATGTAAAAAAAAAAGTCTTCTCCTAGAAAGAGAAAACTACTTGAAAATTTTGAAAACGTTTTTAAAAACGAAGACATTAAAATTAATAACAAAGTACAGTTAATTGACTTTGAGGTTGACAGCAGTCTAAAAAGAAGTTGTTGTGAGGACCTACAACATAAAATTGGTTTATTGGAAAAAGAAAAACAAAAGTTGATATCTAAAATGCGCTATTTAGAATCTGCAAACAAAATAATAAAAAATCAATTAAATCAATATAAAAGAAAATATATTCATAGTTATGAAAATATGTCAACAGACAAAAAATTGTTTCAAAAGTATACTGGCATTGAGCATGAACAGTTTATTAATTTGTACAAATTTTTAAATCCAGGAAATAACGGAGAAAACATTAAAAATCACAACTCATCACTATCCAAAAAAATTAATATTTTAGTCAATGAGGAAAAATCTGGTCCAAAACCAAAATTAAACACAAAAGATCAGTTATATATGTTTTTAGTCTGGCTAAAAAATGGATTTACAATTTTTCACACATCTTGTTTATTCAAAATATCAAAATCTACAACATCACGTTATTTAATAACATGGACAAATTTTATATATTTTTCAATAGGAAGTGTTCCTATTTGGCCATCACGCGAACAAGTTGATAAGTATATTCCAGAAAACTTCAAGATGACATTTCCTTCAACAAGATGCATCATTGATTGCACTGAACTCTTTTGTCAGAAACCTTCATCACTAAGACAGCAGAGTTCTTTATTCTCCAATTATAAACATCATGTAACTTATAAAGGGTTGTTAGGTAATTCTCCATCAGGAGCTATAACTTTTATAAGTCAACTTTATGATGGATCTATTTCTGACAAAGAAATTGTTATAAAGTCAGGTTTTCTTAATAAAGAACTATGGGATGAAAATAAATCAGTTATGGACAATCGTGGGTTTACCATCTCAGATATTTTGAAAACAATCAATGTTAGATTAAATATACCATCTCTTTTAAACGGATAATTACAGTTTTGTAAATAAGATGCAATAGAAAGTCAAACTATAGCATCTTTGAGAATTCATGTAGAACGAGCTATACGCAGAATAAAAGTATTTCGCCAACTAAGTCAAGAAATTCCTTTAGCGTTTCATGGATCGATTAACCAACTATGGATAGTCACTTGTTTTTTATGTAACTTCCTCCCACCACTTATCAAAAATCAAAAATAAAAACATTTATTTGCATGGATATTATTTCTTGAATATTAACGTTGTTATTCAATATTTGTGGTAGAAAATAGTTAATGTAAAAATTATTTAATTTTGTAACTAATTCAAAAAAGAACTGATTGTCAAATGGTGTTCTTATGATAGCAACTCCCTTAAATGTATACACAACTAAGTCGCAAAACTGCGCATTATTTAACCCCATTGCCATTTGTATTTGTGTATAATAACCAGTGGGATGATCTTTTTTTAAATATGGTTCTCCATTTTCTAATCCGATATAAAAATCATTGTCACATAAACATTCTGACATAGATAAATTTTTTTTTGTTTTGGGACATTTAATTTCAATTATGCCGTAATAATACTCAGCTTCACGAATTCACGAATTTAAAGAAACCTTATCAAAAACAAATTGGTCAAATGTTTATCTACAATGCGACCGAGGTCTTACAAGTTCTGCTTATAATTTATTTATTGATACTTATCTTGAGCACTACAACAAACACTTTCCAATTATTGAAAAAGAAATAAAAGTTAAATATTTGAGATGTCCATGGATAACAAGTGGAATAAAAAAATCGTCTAAGAAAAAACAAAAACTATATAATAAATATTTAAAAAATAGAAACGAAAAAAATCTTACTGTTTATAAACAATACAAAAACCTTTTTGAAAAAATTAAAAAAAAATCTAAAAAAATGTATTTTCTAAACAATTACAAAAGCACAATCGTAGTATTAAAAAAACATGGGAAATTATGAACGAAGTTATTGGAAAAACCAAAACTAAGTCCGAAATATTACCCTCCAGAATTGAGGAATATGAATTGGAGTATACAGATAAAAAAACTATTTCCGATAAATTTAATAAATTTTTTGTAAATATCGGTCCTAAACTGGCATCCAAAATAAACAACTCGAACAATTCATTTAATAACTATCTTACTGACCATACTAGTTCATTTACTGAGAGTGACCTAAAATCTGAGGAATTTGAAGAAGCAACAAAATCAATTAGAAAAAACAAAGCTCCGGGCATCGACAACATTATGATGTTTTATACATTTTAAAAGATCCTCTTTTAGAGGCTTTCAAGTCATCAATTAGAACTGGAGTTGTTCCAGACAAATTAAAAATTGCAAAGATTTTACCTATATTTAAAACTGGAGACACGGCCTTGCTAACCAATTATAGACCTATCTCAATTCTTCCAGTGTTTTCCAAACTCCTGGAAAGAATAATGTACAACCGACTTTATAAATATTTAACAGCCAATAAAATCTTAAGTGAATGTCAATACGGCTTTCAAACAAATCATTCTACGGAGCATGCAACCTTAGACCTAATGGACAAAATTAGATCATCTTTTGATAAAGGAAAATTTGTATTGGGAGTTTTTATTGATCTTACAAAAGCTTTCGATACTGTCAACCATAAAATTCTGCTCGACAAAATGAGAAAGTACGGTATAAAAAACCAAACTATTAAATGGTTCACTAATTATTTAAGTAACAGACAACAATGTGTTATAATAGACGGTATCACTAATACAAAGTTATTTAAAATAAAATGTGGTGTCCCCCAGGGATCTATTCTTGCACCTTTATTATTTCTTATCTTCATTAACGATCTCCCTAAAGTCTCTACAAATCTCGATTGTATAATGTTTGCAGATGATAATAATCTGTTTTACTCATCTACCTCTATCAATGACCTTTTTGATAAAGTCAACATTGAGCTTCAAAAACTTAAAACATGGTTCAGTGCTAACATGTTATCATTAAACGCCCAAAAAACTAAATATATTTTATTTCACTCAAAGAAATAGATAAATAAACTACCATCAATTCTACCCTAACTAAGTATCGAACACAAAAAAATTGAAAGAACCCAAACAATTAAATTTCTTGGTGTGATTGTTGACGAAAATGTTTCATGGACAGCCCATATAAATGCCATCAACACTAAAATATCTAAAAGTATTGGTATACTTTATAAAGCTAGCCCATTTTTATCGCAAAAAAACCTAAAACTTCTTTATTTTTTCTTTATACATAGTTATCTCACATATGGCAACATTGCTTGGGGAAGTACACACAAGACAAAGTTAATGTTCCTTTATCGACGACAAAAACATGCCTCCAGAATAATACATCATAAGAACAAACTGACCCACGCTAAACCCCTATTAAATGAAATGAAAGCGCTATAGCGCTTTATAAACATTTACCAAATTAATATCTATGCTAATATATTGTTCATGCTAAAATACAAATTAGGATTAGTTCCAAACCGATTCACAGAAAATTTCTTTCAATCTAATCTCAACAAATTTAACACGAGATCATCTGGTAACTTTATTGTACCCCGGAAAAGACAAAAAAACTCTCAATTCTCTATTTCTTACCGCGGCCCTTATTTATATAACAAACTAATTCCGAATTGTACCTCAATTTCTCTTGCTGACAATATAACTTCTTTAAAGTCAAAACTAAAAAATCATGTTCTCAACACAGATAATTACTTAGAAATGTTTTAGTTCCAATGATAAATTAATATTTACGCTCACATTCAAATAATCAGCAATCAATTACAAATGAAAATGAATTTTTTTTTTTTGATTAAAAAATAAAGATAATATTATTATTATAAACCACAACACTAACACCATACATAGTATAATAAAAAGAAAAGAAAAGTCTACCTCAATTATATTTAAAATATTTGTTTTATGAGAATCATAATGTTTATATGTGTACTTTACGCAACACCTC